TGAAGCTAAATGTCCTATAATGAGGCCTGGATTCTTTTCTATTAGCCAGTGCTTTTTTAGTGCTTTGATCAGAGTTAAAGAGAAATTCTGGAATAACATTCTGTGGTGTGCGTGTGATTTTTATGCTTACAATACTCAAGTTCATGTTCGTTGTATAAAAGGTATTACGAAGTTTTTTTTCCTGAACACGTGTCAGATAAACCAAAATGACCTTTAAAATAGGACCCATTTAATACAATGATGACAAAGTAAATTTTCTTAGCCTAGATATCATAATTTTTTTTGCCATTACAAAGTTATACATAATTTTTTAATAATTACACGAAAGCTCTCAAATTAACATAGAATATTTGTAAAAATTGTGTATGTCAGTTTCCAACTCCGTACGTTTAGCTAAATTCATCATTGTAATGGAGAAAAAAACAAACATGATTACAACAATGTAATACTTTTAAATATTTTGAAATTGCTTTTGAAAGATTTTTCTCACAAGAACATATGTGAACAACAAGAAATTAACAAACAAACCCATAATTGCTTTTAAATTTATGGATTGTTGGTATATTCCACTTTCGCACATTCGTTGCTGCCGATACGCAAAAAAAAATTCTCCGTTTCGCTTTTAGTCATCCCGAGAATCATCACGTGACCGTTGTTTTTATTCAGATTTGCAAAACTGAAAGGTGTTTAAACGCTTTTCCAACAAAAATTGGAGAAAATATGTATTTCAAACGATTTGCCAATCCAAAGGACATATATCAATGTATCACTGATTCTGTTTGAATGTCCCTAACACGCAGGTAACAAAAAATTATCGGTTTCGTGAAATTTTACTTTTTTTTGTGACATTCGGCCGTACCTCAGTGGAGTACCTTTAAAGGTATGGTAACGTGCTGTCTGCTGCATGTACATTGCATACTTAAACAGCGGGTCATCGGTTCGATTGACACCCAATTTTTCCCGCCAGTTTTAGGAGTGACAGTCCTCGACCTATACTGACCGATAGTAGCAGAGTGGCATAGGCCGGAAAAGTTACGGCTCCATACAGTGCTTTTTGGGTATGAAAACATTCGGCTATGCATGCTTTCACACATATTTGTTGTTGCCAGCTTTGCTGTATCTCTCAGCTGTTTGAACACCCGCAGTACTTATTGTTTGATAATGTTTCATTCACATGACGATAACTGAAGATTTCGTCCATATGGCAAATAGATGCGTTTGTTTTTGCTGTTTTAGGGCGTGCCTGGCAAAACACTGACTTCCGGCGGCAACCATTGTGCTTGCCACTGAAACAGTCCAGAATGTTTTCAATAGCATCTCTGGCTCTCTGTATGTACTGATCTTGCTGGTGAAAGAGTTTCTGCATTCTGGTAAGTTCCAATCGTACACGAATACGAATACTTGTTGCCAATTTTGCCCTGTATGCGGCAAGGTCCATGCCTCTTGGGACCTTGATTTTGGCTGCACGAAGCTGCTTATGCATGTTCCGCATTGCATGGACAAAGCATTTATAGTGTTGCACTTTAGTGCTTGTCTTAACATTATGCTCTCTAATAGCTTTAGCGAGAGATAAACTTGCATCTGTCGTGACGGATCGAACTTTTATAATATTTTGCTTTTTAATTTTTTCTAGTGATTTTTTAAGGAATGCTGATTCAGCTTGATTTATTGATGTGTGGTCAGAATAGTTCTTTTTGCAATGCTTGTTGTTGTGATCACATTCTTTCCTCATGCATAATTTATTTCCAACATTAATGTCTATAGGTAGATGTTTTAAGGTAGATTTTTCAATTACAGGCGCGAAAACTTGTGTGGCAGTGATGTTGTTTGCTTGTGGCCTGCTTGTGTAAGATGCATCGAATTCCACATCTGTTTCAGCAGAGGCTCCAGACAAGTGAGTAATAGTCTTGACATACTCCTGATTTTTTAACATTTGATCCTGGCAAATATCTTCCACTTGATCTGACATAATGTTCAGTTTTCTTTGCATTCCCCTCTTATTTGGTGCTTGAATGTTAAGGCATGCTAAGACAAGCTGCACATCAGCAATGCCCATCTTAGATGACATAACTGGCAATAGCAAACTAGAATTAAGTGTCCCACTTGGTTTCCCATGCCGCTGTTCTATCGTTTGGGACAAGGACTGAGCCCCTGTTGTAAAGTTACAGTTGGTACATTTAATGGTAACTTCCACACACACCCCCCTTCTGTCAGACACTACAGTTTTAATATTAGGCTGAATACAGCTATGTTTTGCCACTAATTGCAGAATGCAGCCTAGCTTCTGAGAGTTAACAATGAAATTTTCATTGCTTCCTTCACATGCTAACTCACTGTCCTTCAAACTTTCAGGCTTTGACTGTGCGCGGCGTGGGCGTAACTTGAATGGCAGAACTGAGGAATTAAGTCTTTGACCAGCAGCATTTAGTACATCATCCGCAACTGATTGCTCAAGACGCACAAAAGATTCCGGACACTGGTTAATTGGTAAATCCACATTTCTGGAACAAGATGCTGAATTAACACTGTTGTTAATGTCATAGTTTGGATAAAAACCTTTCTTAAACAGTGCGCCTTTTGCTCGCCTAGCAACATTGTGCTTATAACTTAAATTTGAAGTTTTTTTAATTTGTCTCATTATTAACTTAATTGTACATGCAACCCAAAGTGCTAATTGATACTGAAGCTGGGCAAAGATTTGTTTGGGGACAATATTCTTATGTTTCTTATTTTTCTGTGTTTAAGAGTCTTAAATGAAGTAAACAGTGTCAGGTCATTAAGGAATAACTACTATTTGTCTTTCTTTTGACCGTTATAAGCAGAAAGGTAAACTTTGGAATTATAGTACTTATCTCCCTTTTACTTTGTCATTGTAAACTCTAATACAGCCAAGCTGTTTAATATCTTTAAATCTGAAAATAATTACCTTTAAAAATGAACTAAGAGTGCATTATTTTAGCAATATGACTATATATTTATGTGAACATTATATATTTTAAATTAATCAGTGCTCATTCTAGTCATAGAAGTATATCTTTATATAATATATATATTGAGGTCTAATTTGCAGTGTACATCATTTTGTGCATGGAAATAGAGCTGCATGCTTGAATTTTTGGTGAAAATCATGTAATATAATGCTTGAAATAACAAAAAAGATTGCTTTGGGTCTTAAAATGTGCTGAAACCAGGAAAAAATGCATCTATATAGTTTTCTGTCACTTAGAAGAAAATCAGTCATACTACAGAAATTGACATTGTACTGGTTATTTCCCTTGAAATTTGACATTTTTCTAAAACTGGGATAAAATAAGATATAAACACACTATTCAAATTTCAAATATACCTTTATTTAGAATTGTCATATTTAATAAAAAAACCAGAAAAATTACAATTGGGCAATTAAAAAACTTAAGGGGGAGGGACATTTCTACTTTTTGGCCCCCTGAAATTTTTGAAATACAGAATGGTTTTTTGAAGGGTTTTGTTTAATTTCTTTGTTGATGTAATTTTTTGTAATTTTTGTAGGAAATGGGGTAAATTTAATGTTTTTGTGCAAAAATTTGCCTTGGGAGTTTTACATTTTTGACTCTTAAAAAAAGGGTGAAAAACTGAAATTTCAGATTTTCATCTGCTCAGAAGGTAAGAAATTGATAAAATTTTGCAAAAAAATTTAAAAGTATACAAAACTTTTTTTAGCATTTCATACTTTAGATATTTTTCATGAAAAATTTTTATAAATTTAAAGACTTGGCGGATTTTTTAGTGTTAGCTCTTCATGAAGATTGGGCATATTCCTTTATTTTCAGCCTGATTTTGGATGGGTGGGGGGTAATATTATTTGCTCTCAGATTGTACTATATGGAGCAATGGATGCATTTAGTTATTTTTTTCAATGTTTGTCATATATCCTTGAATACTGCCAAGCAGTAAGTTTTTCACATGTTTATAAAATCAAAAAAAAATTGGTAATGTGTTTAACGGCCTCACGGAACTAAAAATTGCTCATTTTTAGGTCCCCTGCCCCCTTAAGGAAAATTTCATTTTTTGAAAATGTTTTGAAATTAGCAATTTTTTACTGCAAAACATTTGTAAGACACTTATTAACATTATTTTATACAATTCATTGGATTTAACCTACTTCTGAAAAGCAAATGGCCTGTTTATTAAAGGGAGGTAATAAATACACTGAAAATTGACAAAATTTGTTAGTTACCCAAGCATCATGAAAATGCATATTTATTGATTATAGAAAGCTTTGTATTGCTCAAATTAACATTTTAACATATAATTTAACAGTTTGATGCCTTAAAGGTTAATTTTTTGTAGAAATGTCTTCTCATTTACATTTTCTATATGAAAATCCTAGTTATTATAGCCTGACTAACTATTATTTTTTTATTTTCACTAGAAACAGTCATAATGGCCAGTTTTCTATTTAATTTATCTTTAACAAGTGATGAAAAAGCACATGTTATGTCGGTTATTGACAAAAAATCTGTGTCTGTTGGTAATTGCCTGAAATGGCATGGTACGGTGGACACAGATGGCTACGGCCAGCTACGTTTTATGCTTCGAGGGCGCAGGGTAAAAGTTAGGGTTCACCGTGCGGTGTATTTTTTAGAAACTGGTCAGGTTCTTGACCCGAAAATACATGTATCACACCTGTGTCATAATAAATTATGTATAAATTTGAATCACTTAAATTATGAGCCTCAGGGTGTTAACAATGCAAGGAAAGTTTGCTTTAATGAGGGGGTTTGTACTGGTCATTATGGCTATCCAGCTTGTAGACTTTAAGGTATGTGCAAATAGTTGACACTGTTTACTTTGCATTATGATAATGAACACATTGTTTGCAGTTTTCAGAAGTTTATTCATTTTTGGTTGTTTATTGTTACAATTAAGACACAAATGAGACAATTTAAGAGTAGAATCAGTGAGGGAAAATAGCAATGTCAACAATACAGTATATTTATTGAAACTGAAATCAAAACACAACATACTGATTTCATACATGTAATAAATTTCTCTTTAACCAGTTCAAATTAATTTTCCATTGTTAAAAAGACCAAAACAAGAATGCGCATATTGAACCGATTTGTGAGTGCGCCCATTTTATTTCGTTATTGTCAGATTCACAGTACATTACCATTCCGATGTCGAAATCATTTAGCCGTAATGACAATTTATTTGAAGTAAAATATTTTATAGATAGTGCCGACAATTTGTAATGTATGTGAATTTGCAAGTTTATATTTGTAATGTCTTTTATTTATTAAGATTAATAGCATACATGTGGTCTTCCACAGATGCTGACTGTGATGAATACAGAGAGCTTTGTAGTAACATTCTACTCGAACGCCTCTGTTTGCTGCGATATTTTGCGGTCTTGTAGAATGTCTCTTTCTTCCTTAAAGGGGCTACACTGAGGTCTGACAGGTAATTTGGTATCAAAAAAAAAATGTAAACAAATTTCCTCGCAAATCACAATATTATAACTAAAATAACAATAACTTACACTTTAACCAACCCTCTTGCAACAATTATGCGAGAAAATGCATTTTCACATTAGCTTTTGATGCAAAAATGAAAGTTACCCACAATTCATCGGGTATGACTAAAATACGCAACGGACAATTTTGGAACAACAGAGTAAACGGGGTTATTGATTTTTTCTCAACATTCTAACCTATCATGTTTATATAACTTGAGTATAACGAAGAGAAACTGTATAAAAGATAATCAAGGTAGCAATTTCGTTGTCTTGAAAAATCAAACGCCAGCGAAGCGGACATTTTCTAGACAAAACGGAAAGATATTATATACATGTACAATTATTTTCATTGACATTTCAGTTTCAATTTCAATATTCTAAGGCAAACATAATGTATCGGTGATATTTATACTATAACGAGCACAGTGTAATCACACTATTAAATACATGTATTTAACGCTATCTATAACGTATTTAAATCAAATACAGTTAATGACATGTCTCATTTGATTTGATTGTTTGTTTTTGGGAAGGAGTGGGAGTTACGTCACACAAAACTGTGTAGGTCATTTTGGCGACTCTTCAGTTTTACTGGTGGAGTAAGAACTCAGGTGCCCCCTTTGCAAAATTGTTTCTGGCACAAACGGTCATCTGTGTATGTAATGAGTGACGTTTCGTAGGCTATCTTGATAGGATCGTACATACACGTTCAACACACAATTGCATCATATTCATACCATAGGCAAATTTAAATGCACGTTCCCTGTTGTAACAATATGAAACCCCAGAAAAAACCTTTGAACCAGCTTCTGAATGTGGCATTTCTATCGTTATTCCACCCCAAAAAGAAGAATGAGTACATCAATGGGCATGCTCTGGAGTGTTGGGAACTATTACCTGCACTCCAGTTACGCACTGTGCATGTATATGAATTCGATTTAACTCTGACACATTTTCAACAGAAAAATCTTCAAACTATGATACAATAACTGTTTATGATTCTATTAGAAACTTGTTTAGAATTTAATGATTTCTCGGTGAAAACGATATAGTTTACTTGTACTACAGATAAGATCAAAGTGCTGAAGGCACTGAAGAAAAAACCGAATTAACTAACACATTTACACTCCAGTTTCACAGGTAAATTAATTTTATATATCGCGGTTTACATCTTAATATCAGCTAACCTTTGCTTTTTGAGACTTTTGTTTTTGAAAATAATCTAAACGAGTAAAATAAACCCTCTTTTATGGGCAAATGATTTAAGTATCATCCCCGATTTCTTTTTCATAAATTGGCTTTAGCAAATTCTTTTCTATTCAAATATTAAGATCATTCTGTCAGTGACGTGTCTTCTACTTGAAATTTTCCTGTTGTGTATTTTTCGGTAACAGGAAGAAAATGACAGTCTGTTCATTTGATCATGACTGTGAAAAATCATGTTTTGTGAACCAATTTATCCTGCCGATAAAGATTTTGCAAGCAATCTGGTGGTTTATGTTTTAGTGCTTACACTTAGTATTTAATTCCAAAGAACATTTCTTAGGAGACCTTTAACGTTTGATTACGGTAATTTTAATCATTGGTTCTTGTTGCTGGGTCATATGGGGGTTGTGTTCTTTGAACGCCGCCTTTCCTTGTTGATCTTGTTTATCATATTTTCACTATAACCGAAATACTTAGGAATTACTGTTACTGTGAAATTTTTCGTTCATGTGTTTAAAATACTTAAGGAGCTCTATAAAATTTCAAAACGGTATCCAGTATTTCCAAAACAATTTACAAAGGCTTTTAATACACAATCATATAAATCTTAAAGTATTACGAGAACCACCCACCTAATCTCCAGAACATACATACGAAAAACAAGATAAATCAAAAGGCTGCAAGCTCTGTGGTAGTTTCTGATCTTTGCAATCTAAATCGCATTGTATAACTGTATTATTTTCCTATATTAGTTTATTTTTATGTACTTTTATTCTTCTTGCTTGGTACCAGAGTTTGATACATATGGAATTTTGCATGACTAGAGTTGCATCAAAAAATCATTTATGTTCATTTTTATGACAGACACACTTTATCCTTGCATATCGTGGCTATTTACTTAACAAAGAAACTTTATAAAAAATAGTTGCCTTGAATTGGATTTGAACCCCAGACACACTAAACGAGCGCGTAACGCTTGCACCACGGAGAAGATATATGAACAATGCCTGAATACAATCAAGTAATACTTAATTTAGATTTTCCATTGCATTTCTGGTTTGTAATCCTTATTAATTTCGAGGTTTTTTGTTCAAGATAAAAATGTTGTTTAACATTGATGTAAATAATTTAACAAAAATATTCTCGCCAAAACAGTCCGACATGTATATATTCCACTACTCGACAGTCAGATTTATTTGTGAAATACGCTCTCGACATCGCTTAAAATAGCATTTTCATTGAATAAAATGATATTCATCCGCGTAAATTGTGAATGTGCATTCATGGACAATTCTATAACCCAAAGCTACTTTTAAACTTTGAATGCATTGTAATTTGTTGGATACTTATAACAAAATGAAAATATTTCTTTCTTTTAAATCGCTAGTTTTCAGCTGTTTTAAGAACTGCTTGTTGTTAGGTTTGTCATGAAACCGCTGTGTCAGAGATTGAATGTTAGCTTTGTATATCTTCGATCAGAAATACAAAAAGGAATGGTAACATTCAATGAATGCAACACCCACACGACCAAGCAACACAGGACCACAGCTAAATTATCAATAAAAAAATTAATTTTAGGCTTTCAAGTGGTAAATAAAAAGACTAAACAAAAAAAAGGAAGAAAGAAGAGACAAAAGTAGAGAAAAAAGGTTTTAGTGCTATTAAACAAGCAAAAAAGCAGGGTTCTCTTCCTAGCAATGAAGTGCACCCGATCAGTATTTAGCCATTGCAGTTTTTGAAACTAGTCACTCGTGTTTTCAAAATAGTCGGGAAATGAACCTGACCTTTTTTATAAAAATATTTACAAAACTATTAACAATGAGTGTGCCATGATAAACAGGCTATAAGGGGTAAAATCAATGGTTAAGATATGCATTGCCCTTTCCCAAGTTTTGTATACCGCCTAGGAGTTGGAAGTATTATAAAACATAGTTTAAGCAATGGTTTTTGTATGAGGTGAGGTTAATAATATCTTACTGAATTCTTAAAGTTACTTTTACTTACCTGCCCTTCACATTTGTCTTGCAAGTATCATGATTTTGTTTGTTTCGTTTAATTTGAAAGAAAATTAGGGTTTAAAGAACAACAACTATATAATCAGTTTTAAGTTTATTTCACTAGTCACGGCAGCTGTGGAAGCTTGACTGTGCCGGGGGCTGCGTCCTGTGAACGTTGCCGTCGCCTTGTTTGCCTTTATTCCAGTTTTCCTTTTTTACTCTTATAACGCTCTCATCTTCTTTTCCACCGGGAAGCTTCAATATATTGGTAACATTAAATCACAGCTCAATTGACCCATCACTAGTACGGAGGCCTTCCTATAAGAAAGAAATTTATCAGTATATCTGCTGTATCAATAATGATAATAATAATATTAATAGAGCCAGATTGTAACTCTTTTTTGACCTTCTTGATAATGTTTACCATGTACATGAAACATGTATCAATTACCTATAGTTTTGAATGTCTAGATCAAAACGTAGTATTCTTCTCATCAACAAAGTTTACATCCAATGCGATAAAATATGCAAGTATGTATGTTAAATGATAAATATTAAATTTCAGATCTATCTAGCAAAGGAGATCGCTTTTTTCTTATAGAATTTTAATAATATGCACTAGACATACATAAGAAATATTAACTAATAAAGTTGAAGCCTAAATGTCCTATAATGAGGCCGGATTCTTTTTCTATTTAGCCAGTGCTTTTAGTGCTTTGATCAGAGTTAAAGAGAAATCTCTGGAATAACATTCTGTGTGTGCGTGTGATTTTTTATGCTTACAATACTCAAGTTCATGTTCGTTGTATAAAAGGTATTACGAAGTTTTTTTTCCTGAACACGTGTCAGATAAACCAAAATGACCTTTAAAATAGGACCCATTTAATACAATGATTGACAAAGTAAATTTTCTTAGCCTAGATATCATAATATTTTTGCCATTACAAAGTTAATACATAATTTTTAATAATTACACGAAAGCTCTCAAATTAACATAGAATATTTGTAAAATTTGTGTATGTCAGTTTCCAACTCCGTACGTTTAGCTAAATTCATCATTGTAATGGAGAAAAAAAAACATGATTACAACAATGTAATACTTTAAATATTTTGAAATTGCTTTTGAAAGATTTTTCTCACAAGAACATATGTGAACAACAAGAAATTTAACAAACAAACCCATAATTTGCTTTTAAATTTATGGATTGTTGGTATATTCCACTTTCGCACATTCGTTGCTGCCGATACGCAAAAAAATTCTCCGTTTCGCTTTTTAGTCATCCCGAGAATCATCACGTGACCGTTGTTTTTATTCAGATTTGCAAACTGAAAGGTGTTTAAACGCTTTTCCAACAAAATTGGAGAAAATATGTATTTCAAACGATTTGCCAATCCAAAGGACATATATCAATGTATCACTGATTCTGTTTGAATGTCCCTAACACGCAGGTAACAAAAAATTATCGGTTCGTGAAATTTTACTTTTTTTTGTGACATTCGGCCGTACCTCAGTGGAGTACCTTTAAGGTATGGTAACGTGCTGTCTGCTGCATGTACATTGCATACTTAAACAGCGGGTCATCGGTTCGAACCTTGACACCCAATTTTTCCGCCAGTTTTAGGAGTGACAGTCCTCGACCTATACTGGCACCGATAGTAGCAGAGTGGCATAGGCCGGAAAAGTTACGGCTCCATACAGTGCTTTTTGGG